AAATAGATGACTGGATCAAGAAGATGTGGTACATATATACCATGGAATATTACTCAGCATTCAAAAAAGATAAACACATGCAATTTGCAGCAACATGGATGGCGCTGGAAGGGATCATGCTCAGCGAAATAAGCCAAAAAGAAAAAGAAAAATACCGGATGGTCTCACTCATAGCAGGAATCTAGAAAACTTAAATAAGGGACCAGGAAAATGAATATAAGAAAGTGAAAATCAAAATCAACAAAAAACTATGAACCAGAGACACTTTTTTGGGGGTGGGGGGCAGGAGGGGAAGGATTGGGGTCAGAATGGGGCATTTGCAATTGTATGGGGGAATATAAAAATAAAATTTATTTAAAAAAAAAAAAAGAAGATATAGGGGGAACTAAGAAAAGAAGAAAAATTCCCTGAATTGGCAAATTATATAAACAATTTCAAGAATTATATTTTCTGTTATTAATGATTTTACTAATACCTTAGCTGCTATTTCTGTTATTAAGATTACTGTTGTAGGATGCCAAAAGAATTTCATTAAGTAGAAAACAATTCAGTCAGATCAGTTGGAAGATGAAGACTAAATGACCAGTTAGATTGGCAGAATTAAAAAATTCTTAACTGGTTGTCTAGACAAGGAAGGTTAATGATGTTTTTCCAACATGTGTGCTGGGGACTCTGAGAATTCTGGCCTTAGTGGCACAATCCCTGCTCTCAAAGTACCTCATGATAGAGCAGGTGGTCAGACTTTGGAGAAGAGGGAAAAAAGAGAGTCATACCTCTTATAATGAAGAAAAGGATCAAGCGATTAAGGGATCAAATATAAACAGTTTGTCCTTTTATTTTTGTGTAGAAGAACTGGGGTGTAGGCCATAGGTGTGGGGGTTGGGGGACTTGAGAGGATTCACCAGAGATAGAGTGGGGAGCAGAACAGATGGATTTACTGAAGCAGACTGCTGAGGGGAGCCGTGGGAGAGACAGGAGAGGTCTGCTGTGCCATGTGTGGGTTAGTTCCCTGGGTGGGGTTGAACTCAGGCTGTGGTGACATGACGAGACTTAACTCCAAGGCCACCAGGGAGGCCCATACATAGTGTATCCTTTTGGAGGTAGATAAATAAAGTACTTTTAAAAACGAGTTGTTTCTGTTTTTCTGAGCATCATTGTAGTGTTTGACACTCAATAGTATTTTTTGGTTTTGCCACCCAACTGTCGTAGGCCTAACAGGAATCTTGGAGCTTCATAAAAGACAGGGAAAAATAATATAGAAATTGCTATATATTTTTACAACTTTATTAGAGGAAGGTGTTTACCCAAATGTGTAATAAGTTCTCTTGAGAGATCCCACTAAATAATTTTAAAAACAGGTGTCTGTTGGGTCTTTAATCCCACTAACACAATGACAGGAAGGAAACCTGATGTTCCCTATTCCTTTCCCATGTGGAGAGCAGAGGATAGAGTGGTCAACTCAGGATGCAAATGCAGTTGTTCTGGGTTGAATTCAGGAGCTATGTATGCGGCTGTGGAGTCTGATTCTGAATATTGCCTGTGGAAAGGCAGGGGGTCCTACAAGGCAACACAAAGTAAATATGTACTTTGTCCACTTGAGAGTTGATAACTCCAAAGAGACATAAATGTGTGTTTGTGTGTGTGTGTATAGGTATGTATGTGAGTATGTATTTTATCTCAACCTGTTCCATCTCTTAGAGTCCCACTGTAAAATAGCAAAGAAAAATTGACAAAGAATTTTTGAGTAGAAAGGTGCCTTTGAGAACACCTTGAATGGCCCTCGCTTTTATCTATTCTCAAACATCAAGGTCACTTCCGAATTCTGGTATTGTGGGATGTGATAAGCAGGTAGGTGTTACTCTGGCTTATCCTTTCATGATTCTCAGACTTTAATCATATCTCCTTTTCTAGACTACAAAGTCCCAATCCTCTTAGCCCATCCACACACACAGCCCCTTCATCCCTTTGTTTTCGCTGCCCTCCTCTGGCTGCTGGTCCTCCGGCACCACCATGTGTTCCCCTAGGTGGGTGGTCTAAGGACATATACTCTGCACGTGGATGGACTTTAGTCTTGGTAAAGGTAGGGAGTTCTTCCCTTAAGTATTTATGATAAATCTCCCGTGACAACACCAAACCTCTGTGGTTGTAGCACTGTGCTTGGTGAACGTCTTCAGTAGATGTTTCTAGGTGACTTCTTCTTGGTTTATAATTGACCCTATTATTTAATACCTATATATATATATTTTTGGTTGTTCTTTCAATGTGTTATCATTAAGCTTACCCACACTAAAACTCGTCTACACCATTTTGGCTAATTCAGCCTAGCAAGATTTTTTTGGCTCATCCACAGAGTGGCATTTCAATGGCTGGAGAAATTTGTCACATTCACAACTGGAAGTTTCAAGGTGACTAGTAAATGCGTCTTAGCACAGACCTCTTATTTGCTCCTTTCTACTTCTCCAGCCGTGGATTTCTCATGTTAAGTTTCCAGCAGAGTGCTATTTTCCTGGAAAGTTGTGTGATACAACTCCAATTTCTTCATTTTAATATTTAAATAGTAATTTTGATCCCCAGAGTCCAATAGCAATTTACAGGGGTAGTGTTTGTACTATTATATCATAATACCTCTTTTCTGATAGTTTAACAGAGCCTTCTAGAGTCAGCACTTGATAAATTGAATTGGTAAAATTTTTCTGTAGTCTTTCTCTATCTAATAGATGCTCAAATCCCTTTGACTTGGACATTTTCCCATGATGTGTTAGCAGTGTCACTACACACCTACCACTGATACAGTAAAACCACATAGTTTTGTATTTCATCCTCTTTGTTGTGCAAGGAAGCCCTAGAATAACATAGTCATCTGGACAAAAGGGGAAACAAAGAAGCCTTTTTTCCTGCATGGAAATCAATTAAAGTTTAGAGATAATCACTCTTTAGTTTATAACTTAAAGCAGACCCATGTTTGTTTTCAACCTATCCATCTCTTAGAGTCAGATTTTTACTACCCAACAATTTTTGTAGCAAAAAAAAATTTTTTTTGAGGAATTTTGAATAGCAAGGTATATTTCACGTTAGATTTTATGGACTTGTTGATCCTGTCTTTGCTGTCTAATTAGCAAAATAATTAAAATAGTCGACTAGCTAATTTATTCCATGATAGACTTTTAGTTTGCGTACAAAGTAATTTTGGAATGGGGTAGAATTACTGGCCATCTCTCAAGCTGTAAAATGTAGTTAGCCATCTGCTCTCCAGGTTGAACTTGGTGAGAAAGGTTAAGGACTTAGAGTTACATGTTTTATTCATGGAGTTTGAAGACTGGGTTGACAACATAACTCTGCCAAATACTAATTATATGACCTTGGAAAAGTTATTTAGCTCTCTGTGCTATAGTTCCATCAATAAAATAACATTAAAAATAGTCTCTATCTCATAGAGTTGTGATGGGGATTAAATCAGCTAACATATGTAAAGTGTTCAGAGCGATGTCTGACTCACATTGTGCTGTGCAAGTGTCTGCTATTAACTTTTCTCCATAAACCCAAGGGCTGGCATGGTTCCTGGCACAGAATGGGTATTCAAATGGTGTTTGTGGAATGATTGATGTGTACCTGCCAGCTATAGGACTTATTTTGGAGTTTTTGTTGTAACTATTCTGATCAACACATTTTAGCTTATCACTCATTTCTCTTGATTTCAAGCTCACACCCCACATCTGTTCTTGTTTCCTTGAAACCACTGTTTGTCCTTCAGGGATAGCAGTCCATCTATTCTGTGGTAGCTGTACCTGGGTCTCAGCTTCTCTTGGGTGTCACTTTAAGTCTTTTTTTTTTTTTTTGTTTTTTTTTTTTTTTGTTTTTTTTTTTTTTATAGAGGCATGCTTTATTTATTTATTTATTTGTTTGTTTGTTTGTTATACATGCAGTAGGGATCGAACCAGCGCCACAGAGGCTGCGGGCAGCTTCGCAACCCAGTGCTCAACCGCTGCGCCACCGAGGAGGCCCACTTTAAGTCTTTTTAATAACTCAATTTCTAGGAGGATTCAGTTTAAAGATTAGTCATCTCTCTTTTAGATCAATTTGCTCACACCAGAGGGATTCAGATTATCAATATTATAATTAAGCATTTTAAAGCGTCATAGAATTTTATATTGTAATATTCAAGCCTAAAATTACAATGAATCCTCCTGACATCATAGACAACTTATGCATATTCTTGTCCTGTTAGCTCAATAACATGCCGGGTTATTTGCATATTATTGCTTGACCCTGATATCATGGCCAATTAATTTGCATATCCCTGTCTAATTGGCTCAAATAAGTTTTTGTCACTTTATTTATTGGCCCAGTTCCCAGGCTAGTGGCTTTTCACTCAAATCCATAGACTTCGTTGTGGGTTTGTTTGTCATGCTTTCGGCACTAATGAAAGGAGAGGTAAGGGTGGCAGTCTAGGATGTAAAATTGAAATAGCCACTGTTTTTACCTTTCCTATCAGTATACAAAGGCTGAAGAAAAAAGGATAATTTAGATATGTGGGCAAGGCATTTTCCAGGAAAGAAGCAATTGAGCTGAAGAAAGAAATTGAAATTTAAGAGAATTTCAGTATATAAGGCAAAAGATGTATTCTACATCACTGACCAAAAAATAAAAAAATGAGGCTGACCTGGACCTCACCTAAAATTATGATGTATCAGTTAAACACCTAAAGTGTGATTTTCTTTTTTAAATGATTGTGTATAAACATTTCAGATCATATTGTGTAAATTTAAGGTTTACAGCATACTGATTTGGTACATTTAGATACTATAATATGATTACTACCTCAACTTGCTCTGAAGAGTATAGTTTTTAACTTTAAGATACATAAGGTAACATGCAATTTTCACATTCCTCCCCCTCAATAATTCACTTGTAACTGGGTCTGAGGTAGTCCCTGAAATCTTTAATTTTGCATGTAACCTGGGTGTTTGTGATGTAGGTGCAATATCAGATTGTGACAAATACTGCCTGAAGGGATGGTCTGCCTCTGCTGATTTATGGTTCCTTAATTCTATCTAGTGGCTGGGTGAGTTGTTCTTTTCTGGGTGTCTTCAAATACTTAAAACTGGCTGGATTTCCCAAATTATATTTCAAAGAGAGTAGAAAAGTAAATGGAGAAAAGACAAATCCATAAGCAATTTAAAAAACTGTACCTAGTGAAAGGACATCAGGGTGTGTGGGTGTGTATGTGGGTGGGGGCACCTTACTGGCCCATGTCTCAGTGTCTCAATCTACATGCTAGAAGTCTATCATCTTGGGACAAAGATCCTTTTGTTACCACTGTAAATCCCCTTTCTTCCTCCCCCATCATCTCCCTCAAGTAGTTGCCTCCATTTGTGAATTACATTGCCTTGTCTTTTTTTTAAAGATTTATTTATTTATGCATACAAGAACTGGGATAAAGGCCAGAGGTGTGGAGAGGGGGTGAGAGGATTTACCAGAGACAGAGTAGGGAACAGAACAGGCAGACTGAAGAAATACACTGCTGAGGGGAGCAGCGGGTGAGTCAGGAGAGGTCTGCTGCGCCATGTGGGTAGCTTCCTGGCTGGGGATCAAACTTGTGCTGCAGTGGGTGCGGATAGCTTCATAGGTTGAGTCTTAACCCCTTGTGCCACCAGGGAGGCCCTGCATTGCCTTGTCTTTTAGAGACTTGGATGCTTTGGAAGACCTCTCCCTTGCCATGCCCTTGGCTTTCCATGCTATAAATTTCATTGTGCTAAGAAAGGACTAAGGATGGCCAGAATGGGACTAAGGAGGGTGCTTGGTTTGGCAGTGAAATGGAGAACTCTCAGGGAGAACATATGAACTAGTCTTTTTCTAAGAATGAATGATTCTCAGCCCTCAGGAAATCATGCTGATCTCAACTCATAGCCACCTCTCTAGCTCCTTGATGGGGAGACTGCTGGAATCGATGCATACGATTTCAGTTCTTTCGTGGACTTTCCCAACACTGCCCCTTCTGCCATGTTTGACATGCCTGTGTTCTCACCAGAGTATAGGTGAATGCAACTGTTACAAAGGCTGCAAACTTGTGCCTTTGCTGCTTTGCCATGGTTCCTGGAAGTATAAACATGTACACAAATTTCTAAAAGGCTCAGTGCTAGATTTAGGGTAATAAGGAAATGATCAGCCTGATTTCATTCTGTTTCATACTAGACCAGGCAACAAGGGAAACTGAACACCATATCATGTGTGAGAAAAGAAAGTCAGTTTATGATTCTGAGAAAAAAGAAATGGAGGGCCAGGGACCTTTTGGGCGTTTCGTAGGGATTTATACCTGTCGCAGTTTCCCAGTCTTTAAGAATGCCTCCATTACTAACAATCCTTGAGCCTCCATTTCTAGCCTTGCTGACCCCAAGGGCCTCATCTTTGTGTTTCTGGTTCAGATATGGTATACATTTTTAGTAAGTTTGAGCTGGGGAATCCTTGTTCTTCCATCTTGAAGGTGGTGGGTATGGGAAAGACTGAATGAGCAAATGGAAAGTATTGTGCATTGGGAATCAGCGGACCTGGGCTTCATTCAGCTATACCACCTAGAAACAGGTGACTCCGAATGTCAGCAATGACAGTGCAGTTGCCAGTATTGAACCCCTCCTATGTGTCATGTGTAGAACAACATGAATGTCTCTCAGCTTCAATTTTCTGAAAATACTACCTCCAGAAACTTCTTTCTGGGTCCTCAGGGACCACATGAGAAATGAAATTAGAAAAGGATTTCTAAAGTAGGAGGTAGTCACTGAATATGTGATAGTGTGACTTCACAGAAAGACTTTTCAAATTTAAATTGAAAAATCAAATTTCTATATAATAACTTAAAATGTTTATAATCACTTTCACTTCAGAAATTTGGCCTGCCTTCTTTCAAACATCTATACCCTTAAGTTAGAAAACTTTCAGAATTTAATTTATGATATAAACCTTAAATTGAATTTATACCCTTGACATTCCTCATTAAAGTTGTAGTAAGAAGTTTCAAATTTCTGGGATGAATCTTCCTCTCCTCCCAAATTGAGGAAAGTCATTTTGACATAAATAGGGATAAGGAGAAGGCATGACTTGGGAATCTGCCCAGGTATAAATGAATATAAAAATTATATAATGCTGCAGGAACACATGATACATAAAATCACTATGTCGGGAATCCTAACTCTTCTAACACCTTCATAGACCTCTTTGCTACAGGCTAAAGTTGTGTGTTCATCCCTCTCCCTCAATGTGACAATATTTGGAGGTGGGAGTTTGGGGAAGAGATTAGGTTATGAGGTGGGGTCCTCCTGTAAAAGAGGCCCTGGAGAGTCTTACCCTTTCTCTTTGGGAAGACACAGTGGAAATGCGACCATCTATGAACCAGGAGGTGGATTTTCATGACACTGAAGCTGCCAGTGACATGATGTTGGACACTGGGCCTCCAGAGCTGTGAAATCAATTTTTTTGTTTTATGCCATCCAGTCTCTGGTATTTGATTACAGCAGCCGCATGAACTGAAATGCTGTTCACATTCCTGCCCAATTTTTGCCAAGAGAAAATGTTATGCTTTTAAGGGATATTTACTCTAAACATGCAGATGTATAAAAGACAGTGAAGATACAGAGATGATTACTAAGGAGGTTTTTCTCCAATGCTGTTCATCTCCTGCACAACCTGATCCTGAAGAAGACTTGCAGCCCACAAGATTCAAAATTTCACTATGAATAGCTAAATTCTGAAACTCTTGCTGTTGCTTACAAATACTTGAGAGCTGGAATATTAAGCATGTAAGTATGAGGCTCTGTCATAGAGATGTGATTGATCCAATAAAGTCTACATGGTAAAATAGGAGAGGTTGGGACTTTCATGGTTTCCTTTATGGATATATAATAAAGGCAAAATCTTTCTGTACTGCATTTTTAATTCATATAGCATGAAAGAAACTGACCCTCTTGGACAGTAGTAAGAAAAATTATTTAAAAACATTTCCACTTAAAATTCTTTAATATTTTTGGTGGATTAATTCCATCCCTTGTTCAAAATGTGATTTTACTGATAACACTTTGGTGAATTGATCAGCCAATCCCATCAATTAGCTGAATTATTTTTACCATTGAGTCAAGTAATTAATTGGTTAAATTCTCCACTGGTTTTTTTTTGTTTCATATTTAGTCCAAGATTTGATAAAGTTACTAATAGAAATAATTATAATATTTAGTTAGCACTTAAGTATGATGCAAGATCCTTTGTTCCTCACAATCACCTTATAAACAAGAACTTACTGTTCCCACTTTCTAGAAAATGCAACTGATGTTTAAAAAACAACTCATTTAATATCAAACTGCAGTAGTGACAAGTGGGATTGAAAGCCAGGCAAAACAGCCCAATTTGGTTCCAATTAACTAGCCATTTCCAGCAAATGCAGTTTGGCATTTGAATTACCTGGAATGATCTCATTATATAATTTTGATCTCCTCAGACATAGGTCAACTCACTTTTAGACAGACCATCCAAGTACTTAAAGTTATTTTGATGGTAAGTAGGTTAAATATATTTGAAATGCAAGACTTGTTTTTTTCAGACCATAGCTCTTTTGTAAATAATTCATTATTCATTCAGCAGTGCTCACAGGTACCTGTCAGCAAGGGCATTATGGGAGATATGAATACAAAGCACAGTCTAGTGAGGGAGAAGCCTAATGTTTGAAGAATGTAAACAAACTGCTATTGACATTTAAAAAAACAAAAGCTTTGTTCTATGGGGGTGGATCAAAAAAGACTTCCAGGAGTCCCCCACCTAAAGTGCTCTCTCACAGATACCCCTAAGTCTCACTTCCTTATGAGTTACAGGTTGCTGCCAAAATGTTACCTACACAAGAAGCTTTCTTTGAGCATCCCATTTAAAACTATTCCCCAAATTTCTTTATCCCACTTCCCTGCTTGACTTTCTTTGTAGCACATACCACCTCTTGGAATTCTGTACGTGTGTGTGTGTGTATATATATATATATATATATATATATATATATAAATTACAGATTTATTTATTTATGCAAGCACTGGGTACAGTCAGAAGTGCGGGAGGGTGAGAGAATTCACCAGAGCCAGAGTGGGGAACAGAACAGGCAGACTGACGAAATACACTGCTGAGGGGAGCAGTGGGCGGCAGGAGGGGTCTGTGCACCATGTGGGACCCTCGCTGGCAGCCGGGGATCGAACTGGCACTGCAGAGGCTGGGGGCAGCTTCGCAGCCCATGGCTCAAGCGCTGCACCACCAGGGGAGGCCCTCTGTATATTTTTTATTATTTTGCCGACTTCCTATCCACACCTCCACATTAAAAATGTAACCTTCACATGGGTAGGGTCTTTTTGGTGTTTGTCCACTAATGTAAGCTTAGTTTCAGAACAATATCTAACACAGGAATGAAGAATGGGTAGGATTTAGCTAAGCACTATTGGAAGAAAGAGAATTCCAGGTGAAGGAAGTGATGTCAGCAAGGAATGGAGGCAGCAAATTGCATAGCCTGTTTGGAGAACAGTATGATGGTCAATAGGCTTAAAATGTAGAAATATGGTGGGACATAGTCTGAAAGTCTATGTAGAACTGAGTGATTATGACTTAAGGCAGCAGGGAGCTCTTAAGATTAGAATTCTTTAAGGATATTTAACTTATTTATCCTTATTGGATATTTAATAAATTCATTTCAGGTAATTCAAAGGTGGGGGGGAAGTAGACCCAAGTTTATGTGGGTTCTGAAGTTAACATAATTTTAAATTCTGTCAAAACAGGCTGTTTTAATTAGCTATTTCCAGAAATTGTAGTTTGACTTTTAGATAACAATATAAAAAATATAAAATTATGAATGCTAAATTATATATGACCTCTGGCCTTGCCTTTTTGATGTCACAATGCAGAGTTACAACAGTGGGTGGTAGGCATCATCCTGTGAGAGATGACTGTCATTAACCTGCCTTTGCATGGTTATACCTGTACAAGTCACAAAAATATATCTGCTTGACTCCGCTTCCCTTAGCTAAATCTCAAAAATGCTTGATTCTCTTTTGATGTCATTGAACAAGAAGATGGATGATGGAGAAGTCAATGTCAAGAGACACAAAATGTGCTTAAAAAACAAGGTTGAAATATATAGCGTTTTTTATTTAAACATTTTATGCACATAAGAACTAGGGTGCAGGCCAGAAATGTGTGTGATTGGGGGGTGAGGGAATTCACCACAGACAGAGTGGGGAGCAGAACAGACAGATCTAGTGAGATACATTGCTGAGGGGAGCAGCAGACGAGACAGGAGAGGTCTGCTGAGTCATATGTGGGTCCGCTCCCTGCCCGGGGATTGAACTCAGGCTGCATTGGTGATAGTGTGATAACGCTAGACTTAACCACTACGCCACGAGGGAGGCCCCAGTTGAAATATCTGTTATGACCATAGGAACTCACTTCTATATCCTACGGATAAGACAATACAAATGAGGGATCTTGAAGATTTAGTGGCTTCATGATAAACTCTGTTGAATGGTATAAAATGAATTGGGAGGGAGACTAGGGAACACCTCACTAGGAGGGGAGAAGATGGTCGGTGTGGGGGATTGCAGTGGAGCATGTGAGGGGATACACAGCAACAGGCAATAGTTTTGGGCTATTGAACCAAAGGAGAGGGAAAGGTCAAAGTTGTCTGAAGCCATACCTCAGGATACTAAGTAGCGACTGGCAGTGAAATGCTCTTTTTTTTTTTTTTAAAGATTTATTTATTTATACAAGCACTGGGTACAGTCAGAAGAGCAGGAGGGTGAGAGAATTCACCAGAGCCAGAGCGGGGAGCAGAACAGGCAGAAGGACCGAAGTCCACTGCTGAGGGAAGCAGCGGGCGGCAGGAGAGGTCTGCACGCCATGTGGGACCCTCGCCCAGGGGCCGGGGATCGAACCGCCGCTGCAGAGGCTGCGGGCAGCTTCGCAACCCAGCGCTCAACCGCTGCGCCACCGGGGAGGCCCTGAAATGCTCTTACAATTAAAAATTTCTCTGCATTTGAAAAATGTGTTGGTACATTAAATACTCCTTTTTAAGGTTTAAGTTTAAACAAGTTGCGTTTATTATCAGTACTGAAGCTCAAGTTATCACATCTGTGGCCAGTGGAACCCTCTTGAGGGTAGTTCCTAAGCCTTTTAATATGACACAAGTAACTACCTTCCTTTCTGGTGTGATGACATGTTCTTGCCTTTTATACTTTGGTGCCACATCTGGAATCTACCATTTCTCTAATGAACTCCAGTTTCCCTTAGTGGGAAATTTTATTTTGAAGTCATGTGCACTTACACACACACACATTCACATGCACACATATATATATTCTGCATTTTAGGTACATTAAATACATTTTAGAGGAAATTGCTTATTGCTTTAAATTTTCTCTGTTATGTTATTAAGCAATGAAAGCAGTAAGTTATTAAATGGGGTCTTGGTGATATGAAAGAGTTACTGCAGCTTTTGCAGGTAACTTATTTATAAAGAGAAATAAACTTAGGCACCAGGAGAATTGGATTGACAAATCTGTAATTCAGTAAATGGGAACTCAGCTTTAGCATTTTTTAGCTGTTAGGCTTTAGAATATAAAATTGCCTTTCTGCATTAGGGTGACCTTTTGAAGTTATGGTATTTTTGTTAGAGGAAGTACTGAATAACCAGTAATGTTGGTTGTAATTCCACAGCTACAATGAAAACTCTAGTCTATTCATGATGACATTGTGGCATAACAAGAAAATTTTTCATACTTTAATGATTTACTGGGAAATTAAAAATATAATTGATTTAATCACACAGAAAATAAAAATATGTTCATGTACGGAAGTGACAAGTCCTTGAGTTGACTTTGCTTTTGAACAAATACACCAGCTCACTTTTTAAAAAAAAATTAAGTATGGTTTTATAGAGTTTTGAATCCAAAAAGTCTCCCTCATCGCCCATATAAGCTGTAGAAAATAAATACATTCCTAGGGGGATTCACCCTCAGATTTTGATTCACATGTATTGGAAATGCTGAATCTTTAATAAAACTGCTGTTAAAAACTATGCTAGGCTGTGAGATACTTAATAAAGAAGTCTCAGATAATGCACTATTTTTCATATCACGGGTAAATTTCTACCAATAAAACCAAACCAAAAAATCCTGAACTTTCACCGCAATAGAACTGAAAATTGATACTTTGGCTATGAAGCGGGAAAGTCGATCTCATCTTGTGCGCCAGTTCCAATGAACTGAGTGTGGCTTCCTGGGGCACTATATGGGGATGAATGTGAGACTGCTTCCAGGCTCCATAGGATAGAGAACCACGATCAATTAAGGAGTGGGGAGTCACAGCTTGTGTGCTATGCTTTTGCTCTCCATGATGAAGCAGCATTAAAAAAAACCAATAAACATCACAGACTTACCAGATAAGCCACCCACATCCATCTTCTTCAGGTTCTTTGCCTCCAGGATGACAACAGTCAGTTTGCCAGCAGTAGGTACATAGCGAAGGGAGAAGCAGATATCACCCAGTTTCTCTTGCTGAGAACCAATGAGAGAGTATAAGTAATTCTTCAAATACAGGTGAATCTAGTTTGTAAATACACACAGTAAATTCCTCCAGGGGAGGGTTATGACAATTAGAACTCGAAAGTCTTGGGGTGATTGGCATTTACCCTAATTTCATTCCCTCAAATATCAAAAGTGGTTATAACCCATTTCAGATTTTAAGTAGTCTGTCTGTACTTCAACAGTCTTAAAAATATAGCCATCATTCAGCAGGAAATCAGACCAAGATGACTTTTTGAATAGCACTGTAGAACTTGGCAAAATTTCATAACTTAATTAGATTTGAAAGAGCTTAATACTTTTCCAGTGGAATCAACCTACCTAAATTACTGTCTTCTCACATTTCAAATGGGATTATGACTCACACTTCAGATTCTGGAGTAAGAGACTTGCATTTTTGTTCCATTAAATTTTATTAATAAGAAATCCTGAATTCCTAATAGTAAATGGCAACTGCATATGTATATTTTGCTTTTACTCATTTCAAGTGAAGTCTAGCTTTGTTTATCCTTATTCTAAAGTTTGTAAAAAACTAAGTAGTGCATTGGAAAGTTGAAATACTTGGTAACACAAACAAAGCATCTTATAGGCCCTCATGTTATTTTCCTGGTGCCATATTTTAGGCCCAGTGGATGTTCCCCAGACCTGTATTTGGGCATTTCTGAACAACTGCTTCAGAGTTCAAAATGATGATGATGGTGTATATAGACTTCCATTTTTTTTGTTCAGAAAGAACTCCTATGGTTTCTCCTACCTTAAATGTCTTACTTCGTATGATGATTAACTAAGAACCATGCTATTGTTCAACAAGAATTTTTGCATTTATACTTAGGAGGAGAGGGGAGTTTAGAAAAAACTTAGGGAAATTTTATTCTAATTCAATACTGTTCTTGCCCTCATTCCTCATATTTTTTTACATTTCAGACTTAACTAACATTGGTTTATACCATTATATAAATTTCAGATGAACAGGCTTATAAATCAACGTTTGTATGTATAACATGTTTGTCACTAAAAGTCTAGTTTCCATCCATCACCATAAAATTGCCCCTTTTTACCCAACTTAACACTCCCCACCTTCACTGTTGGTAATGATTATTTTCTTCTAAGATCTGAGTTTTTTTGTTGTTGTTCATTCATTAGTTTTGTTTACCTACCTTACATGAGTGAAATCATGATGCTTGTCTGTGATTTGTTTCACTTACTTAATTCTCTCTAGATCCATCCATGTTACAAATGCTAGAGTTTCATCATCTTTCAAAAAAAGTATCTGAGCAGTATTGCATGGTGTATACATATCACTTCATCTTTGTTTACTCATCTGTCAATGGGCGTGGGGGGGCACTTGGGTTCTTAGCAGCTCTAGGTTATTGTCAATAATGCTGTGATGAACATGGTCATGCATATTGCTCTTCAAATTAGTGTTTTTCTGCTCTTCAGATACACACCAAGAAATGGAATAACTGGATCATGCAGTATTTCTATTCATAACTTTTTGAGGCATCTGCATAGTATTTGTTGTACTCTTAGATGCTGGAGACTCTAGACTGCTTTCTGATATAGGGAATTAGGTATCTGGCAATCAGGGTTTATTATTAATATCACTCTCCCTCCCTAAAGTGAAATGTGATTTTCAAGAAGGCAATGGTTGCGTCAGACTTTTGCAAAGAGACTTTTAACAAAGGACTGTGGTACAGAGGCCATATCATAAAGTCTGCTCATGTTATGTTCCTGTTGAGACCATATTTGGCTTTGCCCACATTTTTATTCCTTTATTATTATTTTATTGTTGAGGTAACATTGGCTTACAGCATGTATACAATTTAGGGGTATAGATTCACAGCTCTTCAGATGTACGTTGCAATGCCACACCCACCACCAAAGCATCAATAATCTTTCAGATTGGGACGTCCATTAGACCCCCCTCCTCTTTACTCTGTGCTCCCATCTTTCCCTTCAGGTAGCCTCATTTCTGCAGTAAGATTTCTAGGGTTTGTTTCGGTTTAGTTTTTTCTATTTGTCTCTTTATTTTCCACATATAAATGAAATCATACAATATTTGTCTTTTTCCTTCTGACTTATTTTGCTTAGTATGATTCCCCTCCAGTTCCATCCATGTTGTTGAAAAAGGCAACTCCCCAGTCATATATATATATATATATATATATATATATATATATATATATATATAATGAAACTTTACCTATAACTTTACATATATGCTAAATCATTGAGTCTCCTGTGTAGTAATGACTGCCTAAATGTGATATAACAGTTTAAAGAAATATAATTCTGGTTGGGGTGGGTATTCATTTATATCCATCTTTAAAAAAGGGAAAATGTATATACCTGCCTAACTGTTCTCATTTGTCTGAAGGTGAAAAATGAATGTGTGTGCATGCGAGGGGTGGGGGTAACTCATTATACTTTCCACTTTGGTAATACTTTTATTAGAGATGTCAGCACATATATTTAGAGTCAATTCTTTCATTCCCTCAGTCCTCATAGCATCTTACCCATACATCTCTCATGTTACACTAAGAACTTTTTTTGGGGTCTTACTGTAAACACTTTCTCCCACATGACTGTAAATTCTTTGAGGACAGGATTCTTGCCTGAACTAACAACTTCCCACATGTTTTTCGAAAGTAAATATTGATGGGCATTTTAGACAATACTTTTTTTTTTTTTTTAAGTTACCTAGGTCATCTTTCCCTTCCATTAGTGTAGATAATAGAGAGTTACCTGTAAAGTGCTAAATTCACCTGAAGTGCCTACTCACCCCTAGGAATTAATTTTCACATTAGAAGAATCTGGTGGAATAAATTACTCTTCATAGTCTTAAAATACACAGAAATTAGTACAAAGAAATTGTACTAATCACAGAAATTAGTACAAAGTATATGGACAAATTCGTCTGAACCTTATGAGACAAGAGAAATGTAAATGAACAAAATTGATGTTCAAAAATTCTCATTAAGAGAAGGGTTTTTTCCCCCCCAAGATTCTGCCTGTTCACCACAATAGCCTCTCCAGGGAACTCATTCTGTTGGAGAATTGGGTTACTGTAACCATTCTAATTAGGCCTTTTAGACATGACCACTCTTTCTTAAACGACACCTCTCTTTATAGCCTATCATCCAATTCCCCAATTAATTTATGGGCATCTCAATTGTTTAAAGCACAGAAATGTCACAACTTATCTGTCTTCAAGTATTTTTTTATTCTTCAATCTCAGCAAATACAGGGCATCTTTAAGATTTTACAAATTAGCCTCAGAATAGAGCAGCTGTAGAGTTTGAAAAAACATGTCACAAGTGAGAAAAATATGCATATTTGCCTATAATTTAAAAGCTACATTATAGGGGGAATGAGTGTTTGAAAGAAAAAAAAATCAGATTGGATACATGGGGAGGAGGAAATACAGAGAAGTGGTTATTTTAGCAGCCTTTTCGAAACTGCATTTAATTCATTAATGTGGGAACTTTAAAAATATTTCATTGCATGACTGGTAGGTCAAATTAAAAGTGTTTATTATTAATCAGTTGAAGGTACTTTTCAATGTATTATAATCTTTGTACTTCTGAATTTACAAGCTATTTGCAACTAGTCACTGGTTATTCTGGGATTTGTGTTTTAGATGGCATCAAGCAGCTAAAGAAGCTAATTTCCAGGAAAAGTCCAGCAAATAATCTAGTTTAGACACAATTTTATTGCATTAGCTAAATTCTCTGAGGTGTATGCTTTGTATAATTTTTAAAAATTAACTTCTATAATTTTAGAAAACAAAAACTTTGAGAACTGGGTTTGTTTAGGTTTTCCCTATGAGAATATCAGGTCTATGGGAGAAGAGACTTGTTTTGTTCATGGCAGTGTTTCCAACATTAGAATAGTGACTGGTTTTCACAAGAGTTTCACATATTCTTGTTGAATGAATCAGTGCTCATTCCCAGTACAGTCAGATTGTTCTCCATAGTATCCTCTGTTGCCACAAGTCAGATTCTCCAGGGAAGTAAATTCAGAGATTTGTAGATTTGCAAACAGGAAGTTTGTTAGGGCTTTGTCCTCTAGATAAACACCTGTGTGTGTGTGTGTGTGTGTGTGTGTTTGTGTGTGGGTGTGTGTGTTGCAGGTGTTGCAGGGTGGGGACAGTGAGGCAGAGTTTTCAGGAAGCAGGATTATGCAGGCAGAGAGGTTGGACTGTGATGCAGTCACACCAGATGCCAAGGAAGACCCTCCGGGAGCTCTGGAGCTGCATAGCTCTTAAGAGATTCTGGATTTTGAAAAAGGGATGAGATGTTATGCTCCTAAACCTACCAGTCATTTGTGTGGGCTGTCCCCTACATTTTGGACTAAAAGTAACTTTAGCTGAGGGTGATGCTGAGTTGGAGGAACTCAGTAATGAACTGTAAGCCATCAACATTCTTTGCAGCCAGTGGAATAAATGCATTGATCATGAGTATAGTGCAAGATTTGAGGGTTCACCAGAGCAAACCACTACATCCCTATGAGCTACATGCTTTTCCATCACCAAATTATTTGCTAAGTCAGGAACTTCATCTGCAGTCTTTAGATCTTTCTACATAATCAAGTTACCTCTATCATTAAACCATAGTCCAAGTTCCCTATCTTTAATAAGGCACCTCCTTACTATTCTAGCCCACAAGTATTTCTGCTAGCAATTGCTTAGATTCAGGATGGCACCTACAGATTATTTTTTCCTATTTGTTTCATATATATGAGTTCCCTTCATCCTAAACTCTGAAGGGGGGGATTGTACTTTATACTACTTTCCTATGCTCTAGGCACATAAAAAAAAAAAAAAACTTGCCAATGAATTGTTCTTGATTGTATTAAAATGAAAACCTCACTAGCTTTGCTTTGTAAACAGCAGTGTGGACACTAGTACTCTATCAACATTGTCTCCAGTTTAATAAATGAGTCAACAATGAATTTATTTGGAGTTCCTTCTTTGTGTCTGTGCATGGACACTGCCTTGTGAGCCTAGTCATGAAACCAGAAAACATTTTTGGAAATGTAGTTTTTATAAGATAATTTCAAGACCCTGTAGAGTTGCAACGGACAGAATAGTACTTTTGCTGGTATGATTATCGCATGAAGGGGCCTTATTACTATTAGGAATTTCAGCTTTATGTATAATTTATTTTAGTCAGTTGCCTTGATCACTAGGTGGAAATTGCCAGTTAGTGTTAGAAAGTTCCAACTGTGCGATTCGGAGAAATTAACCTGCTCTTTGAGAATATGGAGCTGACAATCAGAAACCACCTTTGTTCTGAACAGCTTGATAATTCCGTTATGTTTTTTTGCAGCTACTGAATAGAGTAGACGCAAATTAATGATTTAATAGACAGCTACAGCAATGCCTTTTTGAAAAGCACTATAGACATTAGAACAGAGGTCATCTCCAATGGATAAATTAAAAGCTTGACTTAAAATGAATATTTATTTGATGACTTCTGTAGCACCATCCATCATTTGACGTGTATGAAAGAGGGGTTCACTCTAGTGACCTTTGCAAGTGGGGCTAAGTTCACATGTTTGTTGGAAATGCTGTACTTTTGAATGAGTTTGAAAAAGGTGCCCGAATTGACTTAATGCTGTGACATTTTAAAAGGACATAGTCTATTCATGTTAATTGTAAAAATATTTTTCTGTTTGTTAAATTGTCAATAGATTCTCTGAGTAGAGGATTTTTCTCTGAGGCTGGGAGTCTATTTAGAGGTGACAAACATATGGCAGTCCAGTAATCTCTCAAAAATTAAGACCATTTGCAATGTTCTCCATTTATATGAACACTAACGTGTTCTTCACTTGTAAGAAGAGCAATGTCAGGTTCTTAATTTTAATGAAAACTTGGTGACTTTTATTATATTTTTTGGTTGGTAGTATGTTTGAAATTCATTTTGTTCCTATAACTACTCTCATACCCCCGAAGTATTTGCCAAATCGGTATTTACATCTAATGGTCCAGATGGTCACAGTGTGAAATGTTGCTGTGAATTCACTCAGGCTACAAATACTGAATCTGGCCTGCTGTACTAATGTGCACTAAATTGTTCAGGTGAATGAGACAGTATGTTATGTCTTTGAATAATTATAACACTACATAAACTGTTAACTTTGTGTTCATTCAATTACTTATTCATTTCTGATTAATAATGGAGTTCTAATATAGACTCGTCTAGATTTCATGGATACCTAGGTTCATAAGATGAATTTAAGAAGCTCAGAATGGGGCTTTTCTGGTGGTACAGGGGGTTGAGACACAACCTATGAAGCTGTCCTCAGCCTCTGCAGCACGGGTTCGACCCCCTGGCCAACCAGGGAGCAACCTACATGGCACAGGAGACCTCTCCTGACTGCTGCTCCCCTCAGCAGTGTATTTCAGTCAGTCTGCCTGTTCAGTTCCCCGCTCTGTCTCTGGTGAATCCTCTCACCCCCCACACCTCTGCCTGTACTCCAGCTCTTGTATGCATTAATAAATAAATCTTTAAAAAAAAAGAAGTTCATAATGGAATGACTTCGCCAAAATGGTAATAAAGAAGGTTACTTGCTTCACTCCTAAGAGGCATAGCTGACAATTGACAGGGACGATGCAACACTGAAAGACCTGTGGGGCACACTCGGTCCAGTGGAGACTGCACTAGAGGGGACATGGACCAAATTTATATTTCATGGGACACAAAGTGGGTGGAGAAAAATGTCTAGAGACTGTGGTCCAGGACAGAGGACAGAGATGGCAGGACTGCTGACATAGCCATGAACTCTGGGGAGGGGAGAACTAAAATATGGAGACACACACCCTTGATCCAGGTAAAGCCTCTATGGCTGAGCAGGGGTCCAGGAGGATGGCAGAGAATTTGCTCTCTCTAGACTTCATTTTTCTTCTCTTACCTCTTAGGACTGGTACTGAACTTATGAAATGCACTGAGCAGACAGAGCAGAGTCTCAGGTATGGGTCTCCAGAAAGGAGGGCTCTCAGTGGTGTTAAACACAAACAAGCACATTCCCAACATCAGCTGGACTTCTCCAAGCCCCTCCCCTACCTCACTGCTACCATAATGGCAAATGTAGACATCAATACTTATGGAAGACACCAGAGACCAAAATTATCAAGTCAACTCTAAGCCACAGTGCCAGCTGCTGGAAAGGTAAAAGTAGTTCAACTCTCCTAGTTGATCCAGATATATATATATATATATATATATATATATATATATATATATATATACATATAAAAAAGTGGGCAAAAAATAAAACAACCTGCAAAAAAAAACATGGTTGTAGTCCAACAAAATGGTGGCAGGGTGAAGGCACTGGGCTCTCACCCTCCACATATCTACAACCAAATTACCCTAAACAAAGACAATAACCCCAAATGACAGATGACTATTTTATCTACCAAGATTGATGACATGGTAGAAAGGGGAATGAAAAATTACAATCAACATAAAATGGTAAATGTTGTTGCAGAAATAGGTTAGCAAGAATCCCTTTAGACAAGATGGAGGAATTTGTTGTGGTTAATTTCATGTGAATTTTGAGTGGTGAGTAGGGGGAATGTGAATCCCAGAAATGTCCTTGTCAAAAGATTCCTCATGCTGTGGTTCCTGATACCCCTTTTCACTAATGTGCTCAATTCCTAGGAGTCTTTTAAAATAATAATGTGAAGTACACTTTGTCCCCTGGTGGGTGGCATTGCAATCCATTATTAAGTTTTAGCTGACAGTTGGGTTATGGAAGACATATCTAGGGATACATGGGGGAGATGGCAGGTGTGCTCCCATCTTGGAGTGCTGCTTTAGTTAGGAGAATCTGAAGTGGGAATTTAAGTAAATGACAAATTGCTTGAGGATATATGAAGAGGAAGAAAAATAATGCAAAACAGTTAGTGGAATGTGTCCCAAGACAAGCTTTTACCAAGTTGCTTTGTCTCTTTAATATTCTCCACTGTTAACTATTGTCCTTGATTATTTTTCTGGGTCAGACCTAATTTTAAATATTCTATTATCCTCAGGTGACTTTGAGGCTTTGGAGTAAAGTGGCCTCTTCCAGCCGTTAGTTGCACTAAGGGAACCAATGTTATCCTCTTTCATTTTATTTTTTTTAAAGATGTATTTATTTATTTCTGCATAGAGAACAGAGGTGTAAGCCAGAGGTGCCACGATGAGGGAGGGAGCAGAGCAGGCAGATTTACTGAAATACACTGCTGAGGGGAGCAGTGGGTGAGACAGGAGAGGTCTGCTGTGTCATATTGGGGTTGGCTCCCTGGCCAGGGATCTAACTCAGGTGTGGTGGTGATAGCGCTGAGACTTAACCCCCTACAACACCAGAGAGCCCCCAAAGTTATCCTCTTCTAAAGTGTAAATGGATACAAGGTAATTTTGAAATAAGGGCAACATATTTCTAAATTTAAAAAATGCCTATTTGACCTATGCAGTTATAAAGAAAGCCTTGTAAAGAACTATTCTGCCAGAAGATGGGCCATTGATCCTGAATCATACATGAAAACGATGCCAGGTAATCTATGGAAGGAATTGTTTGGAGCTTTTAACCCAGAGAAATGTTATCTCTACTGGCAGTGGTATGTATTTGAATGATTTACACGTAGCCTTATGAGAGAGGACATAAGATTTTTACTAATTCAGCTCAAAGTCTGCAAGGACTTTGTATCCTGATCTTTTGTCACTCCATAGTTAAGATAGCTACCATAGTCACCGTAGATATTCCTAACTATTTTGAGAGGAAACAAGGAGGGAATGGGGTCTCGAAAGAGCAAGCTTAGAAGCCAGGGTACTGTTCTATCCAACAAATACTTTTTCCTTTTTAGTTTTGTGATTATAGTGACTAAGAGGAAAGAGGAAGGAATGACAATGACACAGAATTATGAGATGTTGTTGCCCTAGGAAGGTTTTCCTTCTTGGGGGGATTGGGTGAATCCTTAGCAGCGTATGAGGGCAGTCTAAGCAAATTCTCCCTTTCCCATTACAACAGACAATGCTTTCTCTCTCTGTGAGAAGTGTGTGAGATCCACCTGTGAGCCATGAGGTGGCAAAATCATGAAGAGAACCGAAAAGTTGATAAATGTTGACTGAGGATAATGTTGACAGAGACAATTCACAGATGCTGGTGAGGAGACAAAAGCTATTAGAAAAGTAAAATTGCTAAACCAAGCTTTCCCATTTCTGGTTTCAGCTGGTAATGGTGAGTGTTCATGGTGAACAGAAATCTTGAAAAAAGAGGGAAGGCACAGAAAAATGCTGACAGATTTGGTTTGGGGAGACAAGGCAGTGGGAAACACAGAGAAAGGAACAGAGGAGAGAAGCAAAATTTGAAGAGAGTAAAGGAAAAAAAAGTGCCAGCCTATTTTATCTTCCATTGAAAAGAACACAGAAGGAATATAGACGATAAGGAAAATCAAACAACTTGGGAATGGCGAGTAAAGCAGTGGGAGGATTTTGAAAGAGGTTTTTGTATGGATTCACGTCTTAAGGGATGAGAGGTGTTGTCTGTCTGGGACTATGCGATGGGTCCTAATTATTAGTTCAACCGGGAAGAACCCAGGAGATGTACTTGCAATTCAAATTCACAGAAATAAAGAACTTTGTGTAAACCTCAGATGACAGAAAAAATGGATATATTTAATAGACTGCATTGGAAAGAAAAGCATGAGGCACTGTGGTGATTTCCCCAAGCATGCTAAAGTTAAGACTGTTAGTTCTTGGTAGGACTGAAACAGGGTATATAGGTCAGAAGGCATTTTCTTTTTCTTTTTCTTTTTTTAACATTATCTGGTTTATTTATTTATTTATTTATTTATTTATTTATTTATTTATACAAGCACTGGGTACATTCAGAAGCGCGGGAGGGTGAGAGAATTCACCAGAGCCAGAGCGGGGAACAGAACAGGCAGACAGACGGAGGACACTGCTGAGGGGAGCAGTGGTAGTGGCAGGAGAGGTCTGCGCATCATGTGGGACCCTCGCCAGCATCCGGGGATTGAACTGGTGCTGCAGAGGCTTCGGGCAGCTTCGCAGCCCAGCGCTCAACCGCTGCGCCACCAGGGGAGGCCCCAGAAGGCATTTTCAATGAAAAAAAATTACGGTATGTTGAAGTCCCATTAACAAAGCAGAGAGATTTAGTGTTGGGATAAGGATACAGAAAAGTGAAGTGGAGACTGTTGAGAGGGACATGGGCATCTACCTTCCAGTTGCTTTTAATCCAGAACAGAGATGTGTTCTGGCTGTGGTTGGCACTGCCAGAGATGTCCTTTACATGTGTGCCAACAAGTCTTATGAGCAGAGAGCACCTGAAAAAAAAAGCCCTAGGTAAGGGCAAAAGTTAGCATGAGGAGTTTAGCAAGGGAGCAAGGTATGCATTTTGGGATAGGTGACCCTAATATAAAGGTTGCTATTTGTGTACCTTTGGGAGGGATGATGCTGTGATTGATGGAATGGCGGGAGCTACTATAAATATAACATATTATTTATAGTTCTTTCAAATGGATTTAAATTTGCACCAGAAATCCAAGTAAGCTAGGTAGAAAGGGGAAGAGCTTCAATAAAAATGCGTGGAAAGGATGGCTGTGAGAGAAGCAAGGAAGAGAGGCCTGCATTTGAAGTCAACCGAGGAATAAAGCAGAGCCCTCAGAGATCCCAAAACAAAGAAAGGTCAAAAGAACAAAGAGATAAAAATAACACACTTCTTAAAAATGAAACCCAAAAGCCAGGGGGAAAACATGCAGAAAAGTTCTCACATTCTCCACAGGCTTCCTGAAATCCTCATAGTCCAGCAGGCAGGTCTCGGGCTGAGTCTGACAAAGCTACTGAGGATGTCAAACACCAGAAGACCAAGCCAGCAGATGAAGAGGTGCTGTTCATGTAAAGCCACTATAAACAAGCAACCATGGGTGATATAAATACAGACTGGTCTGGGATGTCGGACTTCAAAGACAAAGCCAAGTGGGATGTCTGGAATGAGCTGAAAGGGACTTCCAGGGACAATGCTTGGAAGCTTATGTTGACAAAGTAAAAGGACTGAAAGAAAGGGAATATAAGGGACTGGACTGGGCTGCCAGCCACACATTTCATCTAAATTTGTATAATACCTTGTTTCTCTAATACCATGGATAAAGTGAAATAATGAAAATAACCAGTTTAACCCAGTTCCTCAAGACTTTCTAGGATGTGGCTCTAACAGATTAGAAACTAAAATGGTCACTGATCTTTAAGTAGTTTTAAATCTGTAGATCAATTAAAAGTACATTTGTTACTTTAAAAAAATATAGGAAAGTATGAGGCAAGAGGAGATATTAGATCATAGAAATGAAGCAGTTAATTATATCTCAATAAAACTGGGAAAATAAGGAAAAAAATGAATGGTTTAAAGACATTTGGAGATCCAAAGATTCCACACAAGAAGAGAAAAAACATGATGTACTAAGCTGCCAAAATGAAAAGCAGGATAAAATATAAAGTACAAATGCTTTATAAAAAAGAAGTTAACGCTCCAAAGGGATTGGCTTTGGATTTCCTGATACTCAGCAATAAGGAAGAACACCAGGGAGAGTGGGGAAGGGGTAGTTGGAAAGGAAAATGTGGGCTAGATGTGTAAGACAAAGTGTGTGTGTGTGTGTGTGTGTGTGAGAGAGAAAATGTGCACTGGGAAAGAAGAGAGACCAGCTTTGTGAATGTTTCTGCTCTCCTAATTTTTATGGGCAAAATAATTAAAGTAGAACTGGGAAGATTGGGGTGAAAAACAATGGCCATTTTGCAGACCATTGGAAAGGCGGTTTCACTTAAAAAAATTTCTGAAAATACAAAGGGGACCTATTAATAAGATGACCTATTAATAAGATGACACCTGAATAGAGAATAAAGACCATGCACATGAAAAGGAAAACTATAAAGTGTTATACAAAGAAATATCAAAGGAGATGTATATTTATGCAGTGGAAATATTACTACATAAAAGCAATGTAATTTGGGGTTGCAGGAACTAGAACAAGGAAGGCCACTACTGGCCTGTTCTGATTGCAACATGTTCTGTGCCTTCAAATTTTTGAACATGCTGCTTTCTTTTCCTGGTATAACCTCTCTACCTTTATTTTTCTGCTGAACTCCTACTTATTTCTCCACTGTCATCTCTTTACAGAATCCCTCTCTGGTCATTCTCAAGAGATTTTGGTCCTTCTTCAGCATGTGTTGCCATGAAACCTTTCTCAATTCTCAGTATTGCACTTGAAATATTATCCTCTAGATGTCTGTTTACCTATTGCTTTGTTCATTAAAAGAGGCCTGTGTTTTGATCAGTTTTGGGTAGCAAGCTGTCTGCCATATGGCTACATTTTATGCTATCATAAAAGTTTGGAGGTAGTAGGTCAAATTGTGAGGGGAACATAATGTAAAGCTATGTTCTCTATACTAGTGTTGTTAAAACCAACCAACCAACCAACCAACCAACAACCTATATCTAGTGCACAGTTGATAATTTGTTTGTGTTATCATTTGGATTTCTTATTGAAAGCAAAGAAAAAATAAGGAGGTAGGATTTTGTGGATCAAACTTTCTAGGAGAGACAATGACCACTGGGGGAATAAGTAGACAAGGTAAAATTGTAAAAGAGACCAAGAGAAAAATCATAGTTTTGGAGGACTGAGTAGGTGTTAACAATGATACACGAGTGTCTTTGGGAATTTGACTGACTTAACAGTGAGAGAGAAATTGTAACTAGATCTATAAATAATAGTGTAACTACCTTTGATAATAAAGAACTGGTAAAAATAAAACAAAATCACACATATAAAAGAGCTTTGAAATATTAAATCTGTTCTGCAAATGAAAGGTATGAATATTTTTCTTTCTACTTCAGTTATCAGAATTACCATTTTTAAGAGTTTTACCTAATTTTTTTTAGACATGGAGTTACTGGATCATAGAATGATGTAATAGAATCCTCATTAGTTGATAACATAATGGCTGATGTGAAATATTTGCATTTTTAAGTAGGTATAAAAATCAGTTAGATGGTGACCAGTTAATCACTTTCCAGGGGTATTAATACCTTATATTGATGGATGCCAGGATAATTTTAAGGATTCTTTGAGACAAAAGTACAGGCCATTTTTTAATTTACTTAGTTGTTTCCACGTCACTATGAAAAGAATATAATCAGCTAGAAACAAAATCTCATGCATCGTTGATTTTATCAGTTTTTGGATATAAATAAGAATATAGGGCAATTATAGGCATACAGATTAGGAATCTGAATTTCAATTTTCCTCTAGAGTATATAATTCATGTGAAGTAATATGAAGAAATTTGCTTCATTTTAGTAACCTCCTTCAGAAAATAGGTTAAAGTGAACTAATCTGAAGGTGACAAGTACACATTTCTAACATCTACATTAATCTCATATTTTTCTTGGTGCAGCCGTCCCATCAGTATATTACTTTTTTTTTTTTTTTTGAGATTTTGACTTTTATCTCCTTGATGGTAATCTTATGTTCTC